CTCTGTGAACAGTAAACAGCCATCAGTGTGCTAATGATCCATTGTTAGGCTGATGGTCCTTCTTGAGCATGTGATCAGCTGGTTTTGGTTGTCAGCAGCAAAACTGGTTGATCCACCCTGAGACGGTGCTATTTGTGGTATGGTATGAAGTTTATTCATTTTTAAAAAGTACAAAACAATTCCATAACAATATATAAAAAGATACAAAAAAATTTAAAATGAAAGGCAGCAGAAAGAAGAAAAAATCTTATTTTATCTGCCCCTTTTTTCAAACAATTATTTCAGACATATTAATTTTCAAGTAACAGAACAAAATGAATAACTTTCTAATTTTTCTAATTCTAATACAAAACACACACTAAACTATTTAAGAGACTGAGCTGAATACACCTCCTCAGACTGAGGAAGTCTTTCGGATGAGAGACGAAACGTTTCTACATTTTTTTTGTTGATTTGCTTTGTTTTGTTTTTTTGAATGTCCAGAGGACCAGATTTAACTTTTTTAGATTTTTCTACCTGGATTATTGAGCATGCATCAGGATATAAATAAGTTGCTTCACCATATAAGTCGCATCTATTATGTGTCACCACTGACGCGTCGCGTTTGTTATGTCACCACTGGCCACCCGGAAATGTGGACTGGTTTTGTGCCAAAATTCGATAGGCTGCCAAATGGCGGCCACAGGAGCGTGCACGGGAGGACTTTAACAAGAACTTAACAAGATTAACACTTAACAACAGTTATTTGTTTGCTCGAAATTGTAGCAAAGGTGTGTCTCAGTGGAACTTTTCCTTAATAAATGCACTTTAATGGTCAAATCAGCTGCATTTCACCTGGGCGGCGCGGCGAAATTCAGCTGATTTGACGTTTGCTCCAGGAGTTTCGGAGCGAGATGAAGGTGGCCTGTATGGCAAGCAAATGTCTCATTAATAACCACTTTTACCTATTAATGAGACACTTGGCTTGCCATATTAGTTGAGGGCCCTCTAGCGGCTGCAAATGGTAATGTTGAATATTTTTCATCTCAGAATGGATGAAATCGTCAGACCTCGGCCAAAACTCAGGTTATAAATATGGGGGAAAAACGTTTATTAGTTGCTTCAGTGGATAAATCACAGGACTTGCCCAACTTTAAACTACTTATTTCAGATTGTTCTGCCATAACATTGTATGATTTGTTGTATTGTTCACTATTAAGCCTTAATTTTATGGTCAACATGGAAGATGCTGAACACTTTTAACGCTATAGAGAATTTACGTTTCATATTTCAGCTGACTTAATTTGCTTATTGTATCCAAGTCCAATAGACTCATTCTAGGTTTAAATATTAAATAAATATCCAAGATAAATAGGTGGATACTGACTGTGTTGTTTAAATACAAGAACTTTCTTCAATATTAATATATTGAATTAGACACGCTATAATAATAGCATTTAAATTATTATTCTATGTATTAACTTGGATGATCTCCAGCTAAAATTACATGTACTGGAAAGAAACCAGTGCTAACCTCTGATTCACCCTCGTATGTGAGGGTAAATGTGTGTGCACGTGGTTACCATCATGCCAGAGGGGGAAATGGTAACGTGAGATTTTCCTGTAAAGCTGTGAGACACTGTCTGGTCGACACTTCTGAGGTTTTCTATTTGAAATATTTATACTGACATAAAGTAGACTCATTAAATTCCTGACACTGGTTACTGGACTTGGCAAAAAACACTTTTAGTTGTTGACTTTGCAACACCTGTTGACCTAGTTTTATTGCCTCGACTGGCCAACCTCAACACATTTTTTGTCTTGTGCCTAATTTAAAACATTTTTTCTGTTGTCGTTAGTTTTTTTTAGCAGGTTTTATACTCTATTTATTCCCCACGTAAGCACAAACATGTTTTCCCCTGTATTTTTTGCAGGTGGTTTCCTGGTAACCAAGAAAATGCTGGACATGTTCAAACGTCCCACTGACCCTCCTGAGTACAACTACCTCTACCTCCTTCCTGCTGGTGTCTTCGTTGGAGGCTATGCTGCGGCTCTGCATTCTGGATACAACATTGAACAGGTGCAACAAGACTTTCATGTTCTTTCCTTCAGTGTAGAGTGTTGTTGTGGTTTTTCTTCCACAGAATTGGCAAAAAAAAACAACGTTACTGTGCAAGACTTTATTTGGTCAGATGTTGTGCAGGACTGTCCAACTAAAATTGTTTAGCCTTCTTTTCCACCCACAATCCATATCCTCAATATATTTTTCCCCACTCTCTCTTTTCCTCAACAGATGATGTACTTGGCCTCAGGTCTGTGCTGCGTCGGTGCCCTTGCTGGCCTTTCCAACCAGACCACAGCCCGGTTGGGAAATGCTCTGGGTATGATTGGAGTCGCAGGGGGCATGGCTGCCACTTTGGGCGCTCTCCAACCGAATCCTGAGCTCCTGGCACAAATGAGTGCAGCCATGGCTGTGGGTGGCACTGCTGGTAAGTTTGCGTGGATTTAAAATTAGAAGAACAATCGAGCAAGTTTCAGGGAAACTCTTGAGACTTGTAGAACAGTGGTGCAGCAGATGGATGTGGGTTTTGTGTTGTTTGCATGTGTATGTGTGTATTCCAAGCTCAGCTAGCAGAAGCAGGTGTGTGGAGAGTTTGTGATGTTTACATCAAACACAACATGACTAACTCTTACCAGACACAGGTTTTGTCTGACTGGTCAGCATCGGGTATTACTCACTTTCTTTCTCCGTTTCAGAATGGTTTGATCATTTATACGCTAATTGTTCCAGTAACAAAGCAGAAAACCAGACTAAAATATCCACACAGATAACATTGTTTTCCAGATACAGCTGTGTTTAAAGGCTTCCTGTAGGACACATGTGCGCACCCACTCAAACGCACAGATACCGGCACATTGGAGATCAACAGAAAACTGGAATTTCCTGAAGCAGGCCTCATCAGCATCACCTGGCTATTCTGTTTCCCACTTCCTTGCAGGATTGTGTGTGGACATGTTTGTGATTTGAAGTGATTTAGAGATGCTGCATTTTATATATTCATCTTTTTTTTTCTATCTCCAGGCTTGACCATCGCTAAAAAAATTGAGATCACTGACTTGCCTCAGCTTGTGGCTGCATTCCACAGCCTGGTCGGACTGGCTGCAGTACTCACCTGTGTGGCAGAATACATGATCGAGTACCCTCACTTTGCTACGGACCCTGCAGCCAACCTCACCAAGGTAGTTGCCTACCTGGGCACCTACATTGGTGGAATCACTTTCAGTGGCTCTTTGGTGGCGTACGGCAAACTGCAAGGTGAGAAAAGCAGAGCCACTTTCTCCAGCTTTTAGTTCTTCCATCACATAGTTAATTCAATTCAGTTTATTTATACAGCGCCAAGTCACAACAGAAGTCATCTCTGGGAACTGAACAGAAATATTCATATAAAAATAATTATTTAATTTTATTTATCTGAGGAGCAGACTGCTTTGAGTTTAACTCCATCGCAGAACTCTCATCTTGAGCAAGCATGAAGGCGACAGCGGAAAGAAAAAACTCTTTATTTATTATTTATTTACTATTTATTTATATTTCTGCAGGTCTTCTGAACAGTGCCCCCCTGATTCTCCCTGCTCGTCATGCTCTCAATGCCAGTCTCATGGCGGCTTGTATCGGTGGGATGGTTCCCTACATGCTGGATCCAAGCTACACCACAGGCATGACCTGTCTCGGATCAGTGTCTGCCCTCTCCGCTGTCATGGTATGCTGCACATGGGCACTTATCAGATTTGTTGTTGCTCTCAGTATGTCACTTTAAAAAAAAAAATCAGGACATTAATATTATAGATTGAAATGTTCTTATGTGCTGACAGACTAAACATATAAAAATGCTATTAAAAAATCAGTAAACTGTCGGAAGGGAAAATGATTTAAAATAATTAGGGAGAAGCATTTTAGAGATGAAGTAGGTTAAAAAAAAGTAAAAAAAAAAACAACACAACACTTTCCTAATAAATGTCAAGTAACAGGAAACAATAGCTGCCCAAAGACCGAGTGAAGCTGGCAGTTATAGGCAAGTGAGTTTAACAAGTTATTCTTTCCGATTAGCTTTTTAGTGAGGTCTACAGCATTGTAACGTCATGCTGGTGTTTGAAAATCTTTGTGAAATTGCTAAAATTGTCAGTAGTCCTCGGCATGAAATAATCTCAAAAAGTGAATCACAGAAAAGTAACTCCAGTTACCTTTGACCTCTTGAGTTTATCTAGGCAGGAGAACTAAATATTTTTTGCAAAAAGAAAAAAAAAAAAAAGTCCACTGCTCCAGATGTTGCTGAGGAAAGCAGAAGTATTAGCAAAATCAAAACCAAAAAATCAATCCAGGAGAAACCAGACTGTTAATATTTCAGTTTCTTTTTTTTATGCAGCTCATCTCTAGTCAGTAATTCAAGTCCAGCATTATGAATCATCTACCGTACATGTGCATGCGTTGTCTTGCTCAACTTCCTGAGTGGTCGTTAAGAACCAGCTATGAAGTTTTTGTGCTGAGATAAATTCAACACAGATATTTCAGAATATTGATGCTGCTTTGGTAACTGCAGTTGGCTGTTGTTAAACAAAATCTGTATAAATGATAAAGATATAGAAAGCATGTGAATCTGATTGTGAAAAATGTTTCTTCTTTTAGAGGCGAGTAGTATTACCTTCACTGCTGACTTTTATCCTTTATAAAGCAAATGAACATGCAACAGATTTGTTTTTGTCCTATTCTCTATGAGCATTGATCCAACTCAAGTTCTTTATATCAAATTTCATGCTTTAGTTTTTGCATCTCAGCTGCTCAAATGAATAGTTTGGACTTGATATTTGTGCACTGCGACATTGTTTACACAATTCATTTTACAAATCCAATTTCATGCTGTTTATAGTTTTAATTAGGCCTGTCGCAATGAACAATAAATCAATTAATCGCATGATAAATAGAAATTATCAACCTCATTTTCATTTATCGGCTTTACCGTTTCTTCGTGTCTCTCTCTTTCTACTGAAGACACTGGATGACAACAAACTCAACTCCGGTGTTCTTCATCGACCCCTCCCTTTCTCTTTTCTCTTTAAAATCCATTTTAACGATCCAAAATCACGTTTTTGGATCGTTAAAAGCAGCTAAACTGAGAGGCTAAGCTAAAAGCTAAGCTAACAGGCAGACATCGGGGTAAAAACCTCCGTCTTGCCAAAGCTCCAAAATTCACGGTTGAAACTCGTGCCTTTGTGTAAAAAAATTGTTTTTCTCTGCAAAAAGAAGCTTAGAACTTCTTTACAGATTTTTTTTTTTTATTAAAAGCTTTGTGTGAAAAATATACTATGCCAAAGAGCTCAAACCACACTGAGTGTACGCCATTTTGAGAACCGAAGAAAGGAATGAGAGACAGCCCATGTCACGTCAAGGGGCCTCCCTCCCATTTTTCTTAAAGAGACACGCTTCTCGCTCCCTCATTATCCATCCTTCGGTTCAAACAGTCTTATACTGCCATCTGGTGGTAAAAAAAAAAAGAGTACTACACACAAAACAAATTACCCAACATTTCTTCTTAAATTTGACAATATTTACTAATTATTGTAAAATTTCTATTAATATGATCATTTATTGCAATAATTTATGACAGTTAATTGCCCAGCAAAATTTGTTATCGTGACATGTGCAGTGCAGCGTGGCATGATCAGCCTGCTGCACACGTTGCTTTAATAGTGACCTTCAGGTCATCTGCTTTGAGTCTGGTGTCGCTCACCTTCCTCTCGACAGCCCTGGGGGGTTCAGGTCGGGTGAGTTTGCTGGTCAGTCAAGCACAGCAACACCACGGGCATAGAGTACCTTACACACCTTCTGCGTAGTTACAGGATGAAATAATCACAGATGAATCTAAACTTTGTGGTAAATAAAAACATGGAACTGACCATCAGTTTATCGTTTAAAATGTCTTATTACACAACCACACATCAACAGAAGCTTTTTGTTTAAGACGAGACTTTTGGTTGACCACTTATTGATGCACCGTCGTGCTCTCCTGCAGGGTGTAACTTTGACAGCAGCTATCGGAGGTGCCGACATGCCGGTGGTCATCACCGTACTGAACAGTTACTCGGGCTGGGCTCTGTGTGCTGAGGGCTTTCTGCTAAACAATAACCTGCTCACCATCGTCGGAGCTCTCATCGGGTCGTCTGGAGCCATTTTGTCCTACATTATGTGTGTGGTAAGTGGAAAACACAGAAAATATTTCTGCTTTGCTCTCTTTGTTTACAGCTTTATTGTGAAGTATCATATTGGGATTTATGAAGCTAAACATATGCAGTTAACCACAGTTGTTTTCCTGTCCATCAGGAGGGACTCTTTACCTTATTAGTAAAAATATGTAATTCCTGATTTGATTTACTGTACATATCTTTCTAAAAAAAAGTAAATATTATTGCATTAATAAAAAAAATAAAACGGAATACATTAAATTGTTCTCAGGCCATGAATCGTTCCCTGGCTAACGTGATCCTGGGAGGTTATGGTACATCTTCCACCGGTACAGGAAAGCCCATGGAGATCACAGGGACACACACTGAGGTCAACGTGGAGCAGACCGTTGACATGATCAAAGAAGCTCAAAACATAATTATCACTCCAGGTAAAACAGAAACTACATGAGTGAAAAAACATCTGATTTTAATGTCATCCCCCCCCCTGCAAGCATCGCATCAGCAAAGTGCAAGTTCTGTTTATTTAACCTTTTTTTTGTTACGTCACTATAATTGACAAGTCATGGCAAAATGTGTGCACACAAAAACACATTAGTCTCGTTTCTGTGTGGTCTGCAGTATCTCATATATAGACGTTCTACAGTGGAGCACATCTATGTGAGGTCAAGGGGAAATTGGATGAACTGAGGGAATGCAGGGTTTGTTGACAACTCACTATGCTCCATATTGGCTTGTTGTTCCTTTTTCTGGGTTCAGGTGTGCACTTTGTTCCAGCTTTTTAATATTTGACGTGACACCAAACGTGCGATGGCCTCCCACGATTACAACTGTCCTTGAATTGGCTGCTGTACATGAGTCATTGGGGGTGGTCCTGGAAGGTTTCAGCTCCCTCCTCAGACGGTTGTGATGCAGACCCCAAAGAGTTGTTTTGCTCACGTTAGTGCATGTAAACACAGACTGAAAGCATCCAGCCTGCAAATTGGTGATTCCAGTCACAGAGCTGAGTGCCAGTTTACAAAAACTAAATCTTTAGAGGAAATCGCTGCAATTTACAAAAAATGCAGAATTGTTCACGTGGTCCAGTGAAACTTAAATGAGGGATTCGGTGCTGGTTATTTCTCTTTTTTTTTTCTGCCACAAATAAAAGTCGAAAGTAATTTTTAATGGATTTTTTGGAAATGCCAATCAAAAAGTAAAGCCTCTAAACCGCCACTTACACCAGTTCAGACCACTAGTGTTGGGGAGAATCTTCTTATTGCATCAGAATTCACTGAAGTTTTAAATGGTAAAAACGCCACACTAAGTCATCAGCATGTGATATTTTCAATCAAACATCAGTTACATAACAGTAAAACTACAACAAAAAAAAAAAATGTTATAAACATCTGACACTTTCCTCCGTTATGATAATGTGTAATAGTCCAACACTTTAAGTCATTGCCCTGGTTTCCATTTTGATCTTTTTTTATTGGAGCCATCACAGTCACTTGGCTTGACTGACGTCTGTGTTAACAGCTAAGCCTCAGCTTGATAAACACAAGTGTTTTCTTGGCTTTGTCTGGACCATGTCTGCATGCTCTGGCACTGTGTTTTTCTTACATGGGAAACTTGTGTGAGAATGTTGGCAGCGCACGTTATAAAGAATTATGACGGACGGAGGGGGAGAAAAAAAAGTGAAAATCTTTCACTTGTTTTGTTGGACAACAGACTGTTTTTGGAAAGAGTTGTTATTTTATTTAAAAATAAAAAAGTTTCTTGAGCTCGGTTTGAAGCCACGTCACTTTAAATTGGCGTGTCGTAAAAAGACAGATTCTGACTGGTTGTTGTGACGAGGCTTGTAAACCTCAGTGGACCATTTGACACGTGTTGGTGTGTGGGATAATAAAGCAGCAACTTACACCAGCGTTGCTGAATTTAAAAGCAATCAGAGACTTAAAGAAAAAAGTAGGAAAACATAGAACTTGGTACCTTTACTATGATTATTTTAGTTTTTGTTGCTTAACTGGTGAATTCAGCCACATGGGAGCATTGTTTGAGTTGCAGAGACAAATTAAAATGAACAATGGTCATACTGAGCAGGTGGTGTAGATATTTTTCACACAGTAGTTTTGTAAAATTCTGAAAAATTGGTAGAGAGAATTTTATTCTCATGAACTTTCTTCAGCTTTAAGGCCAGCTAGCAGAAAAAGTTGTTTTGAAGACAAACACTTGTTCGTCTTGCTCGAAATTTGTCACATGCAGGCCCTCCGGAACATTGCTAAAGTTTTCAGGATTTCATCGCATCTGATTAAACTCATGTCTTTGATGTGTTTGGACTTTGGGCACATCTTGTTTTAACTTAGAATTTAAGCCAAAAGATTATTGAATGCTGATGTGCGTGGGTTCTTGAGTCCCTCTTTTTTCAGCCCTAATTTTTTTGTGTGCTCTGTAGATTGCATCAAAATGCATAGACTTTATATTATTGTAATTTTTCTTTCAGGTTATGGACTTTGTGCTGCAAAGGCCCAGTACCCCATTGCTGAATTAGTAAAGCTGCTCTCAGAGGCTGGCAAGAAAGTCAGGTAAAGACATGATTACCGTAATTCTCGGGCTACAGAACGCACCTGTCTCTGAGCCGCACACTCTAAATATAAATCATAATTTTGTACATAAATAAGACGCTCCGGTTATTTAGCTGTGGGCATCCACCGCTTATCGTCAGGAACTGTGCCCATCCAGCTCGGACAGAGTGCAGCTTTCTTGTTGTAGTACAAGAATCAGCCACCGGATGGTGTTTCACAGACTATAGCTTGTTCAGACTGCATGATGCTTTGCTGTCCGACTCATGGTTACAACCATTATACCTACAAAATGAACACAAGAACTATCTAAGCATAATCACTGGACAGAACAGTGCCAAACGTCTACGTAACTGAAAATATTTAAAAATTATATACCGGTAAGTATTACCCAGAAGTCAAATCGTATCTGTAAAATATGGTAAATATTCGTAAAAATAATACCATTGCTTTTTATTGTTAAACACTTTTGGTCACAGTTGCTGTTTTTAAATGTACTTTTTAAATAAAGTGGACGTGATTTCTGCACAGCAGAGCTCATATGAGGAGGAGGGAAGAAGGGGGAACAGCCCCTCAGCTCCGTTTATTTCCCCCCGTTTAAGCTTAAATGAGATATTGGTATTTAAACGTATATTTACCGTATACAGAATTTTTTTTATTTTTTACTTTTATTTAAATATGTATCAGTCTTGACTTCTCTGGCTGAGCTTTCATGACGGAGGAGGTGGGAGAAGAACCCCTCCTGTTGTTCTCCGCGCCGTGTTCGGATGTAAGCTTAAATTGAGATCCCATTATTTAAATACATATTTACCATACACAGAAAGATATCACACAAAAATAATTTAAAACTTTTATTAAAACGTGTACCAGACTTGACTGCTTTGCGTCTCCAATGCTCGACCATTGACACGTTGATGCAACGCTTACTGGCAGCGCCGTTTCCTCCTTCGACCGATTGATCGCTCTTAACTTTAAAGCTGCATTGCAAGAATTCTCCGTGCGTTTTCCAATATCGCTGAACAAATGAGCAGGTCTGTGCATGAAGCGCAAAATACGATAACGACACGGGAACGATCTGAAGTAATTAATGCACGTCTATCTTGGTGGGGATGGTCCTCGAGAGTATCTCATTGGTCATTCAGGTTAGACTTCTGGTCACATGATGACAGAGTGGGTGGAGTTATGTTAGGGAATTTGAAACCCTGAGCAAGAGTCATTGTACATGTGTACATGTGAGTGCATTCTCTGTCACAAACAGGGTACTGGAAGCCACGAGTGTCAAAGAAAAATGTTAGTCAGAGGCATGAAGTCTGTTATATAAAAATATAACTTGTGAAAATTATGAAAAAAAAAACATAAATAAGACGCATACAAACACAACAATTACGGTAATTGAACTTGTATTTAATTGAGCAAAAATCTGCTTACAAGACATTAGACATTGCTTAAAGTTAAACTTATTAAAAGGGTTTTTCAAATGAATAAATGCGTACAGTGCACCAAATACAGGACAGATGCTTCAACCTGTTTGATAAGAGTGTGCAAAAAGAAGCTAAATCATGAAGAAACAAGGTATTGGACCCTTGCGCAATTTTCCTGCCTCTTGTTTGGTTGTGGCTGGTGCAGCTGCCGCTCTGTGCTCGATTAGAGGAAAGTGGGTGGTCAGAGGGGGAACAAAGGAAAACATTTCTTTGCCCTGATTTGCCTTTTTTTGTTTTGTCTTGTTTCTTAATTTATCCTCTTACTTCCAATGATCTGTGTAATTGTTCTTTTTTTGTCTCAGTTAACCAGCTACTTTAATGTATTTGTTAGATTTTATGCACAACACTAAAGTCCAGAAGCACAAGATGTTCTCGATGCTCTCCTTCAAGACCAAAGTCCCACCGTTTTGTTTTTCCCTCACCCTCTCCATTAACAAGTTTAGTAGAAAGTGTTTTTTTTTTTATTTATTATTTGCTGTCACAGTTAAAACCACAAGGCTATCTGGGTTCTTTGTACACCTCAATTTAGCAAACAATTAAGCAACATGTTTTTAAAAGTTTGTTACTCATCTTTGCAGGCGGTTGAATGGTTAGAATACGTTTCCTGAACTGATTAGATGATTCCAATAATTGAGAACTGTGTATATACCCAGTTACACACCAGAGAGTGCACATTCAACAAATGATTCTGGTGGAGGAGTGCGGTGGGAGTTGTGTGTAAAAACAGTTTAACGCCTCCTTTGCTCAACTTTAATTATTTAGTCCTCCTCACTCACTTCTGACATACGTTCTCTTCTTGATATGCTTGTAAAAGTAGGGACTTGACTAATAGTCGGCCTTTGTTTCATCCAGGTTTGGGATACATCCAGTAGCCGGTCGGATGCCCGGTCAGCTTAATGTGCTGTTGGCTGAAGCAGGCGTCCCGTATGATATTGTTCTGGAAATGGAAGAGATTAATGAGGACTTCCCTGGTGAGTCCAGCTTTCATTCAAAAAGATTTGTAGCCATTGAATGTTGCAAAAGCAGAACAGTGACAACATTGCTCTTACTTTCAATCGGGCATTCAGGTTTTTTTTTTGTCATCTTTATATTTTGTATATGAGAATCTTTTGATTTAGATAAAAAAATTACTTTATTAATAACAAAGCCTTGTGAATTTTTGCGATGTATTTGATAAAATAAAATAAAAAATCCACCAAACTAACCAGAGCCTGGTAAATATCTCGCATAAAGAAAATGAAAAGTAGACAAATTTTTTTGAACTTTTAAAATTGCTTCATAATTTAAGGGCACCTCTTTTTCCTAAGTTCTCTGTGTCATTTCCTGTTAAATGAGCCGTAAAATGTGTTTTAAAAACCAATTGGTGGTTTGCACACACAGAAACTGACCTGGTCCTGGTGATTGGCGCCAATGACACGGTGAACTCTGCCGCCCAAGAAGACCCCAACTCCATCATTGCTGGCATGCCTGTTCTGGAGGTCTGGAAGTCCAAACAGGTAAGACATCTGGTGTAAGGATGAGAATAAGATTTGTCCCACAAGTCTTAAAACAGTCTGGCCCTGGTATTTTAATGTAAAATGACAACATTCAAATAATTTTTTTAAGTCTGCTCAAAAATCCGGGAAAACACATTGCTCCTTCAAATTCTTTCTAGAGGCTACTTATTCCTTGATGACATTCTTTGTCCTTTTTAGGTGATTGTGATGAAACGTTCTCTGGGTGTTGGATACGCAGCCGTGGACAACCCCATCTTCTACAAACCCAACACCGCAATGCTGCTAGGCGATGCTAAGAAGACGTGCGACGCCCTGCAGGCCAAAGTCCGTGAGTCTCAGGGCCTGTAAAGTGGCTCTGCGTCGAGGAGGCCTCAGCCGAGAGCACACACACACAAACGAAAACAAAGGAAACGTTTTCTAAAAGTACTCCAACTTTGTCAGCTGAGTAAAACTGAGATAGGAGGTTATTGACAAACCCTTCCCAAGATCTAAAAATAAAAGAAAATGTGTTAAAAGTTCATGCTTGTGGAACTCATAAACTGAGGATGCTGTATATTTATTTCTCACAGAGATAATATACTTAAACAGATGTTTTCTTCTTGACACTTCTTTTATTTCTAGATACTAAAGGAAGGGAAATGGTCTTCAAACTCAAAAATGTGTATTCATGTAAAAAAAAAAATTTTTTTAAATCAGGCGTGTAGATGTATTAAAACTTTAGATCCATTTCAGTTAGGATGTTTTAGGAATTACTGAACAGTAGATGATTTGAAAAGTACAATAATAAATCACAGGAAGGAGTTATTACAGTTTGAAGCAACAACATTTTTTTTCTTCACTGTACAAAGTTTCATCCTCATTGTTTAATTTTTGTTTTAGAAGTTCGATATTCCCCACAATAAATCTACATCACCGTTTTTTCTTTCAGTAATGACAAGAAAAAGCTGAATAGTGTTAACATTTTTGTGAAGTTCTTTCATTTCCAGTTTTCTAGTGCGTTGAAAGAGTTCTGGTCTAAAACTTTTCCGAGTTAATTTTTGTCTAATCAAACGAGGCACGTTTCCCTCACCGTCTAACACTTTTTGTCCATGAAAGCCTCAAGGGCAGCAACCACATTTGGATTCACAAGACTGAGAACAGAAAATCATACAAAAATAAATGCAGAGTTTTGTGGGACCACTGCTGTGCTTAAATATTGACTGTCCTCCTACAAACACTTGTTGCTCAGATTTGGTGCTTAATGGTTCAGATTTTACTTAGATGTTCTTTTTCGTTTTGTCTTTAAGTGAATGTGACCAATCCACTCCTGTGTGTCCCCTCATTACAGCTCTACAGGAAAATGAAGGAACACGGTTTGTAAAATTGGGCTAATATTTAAACTGACTGTTGTGGAGGAATGTAAACAAAAATGCAAATGAAGATTTTTCTTTTTCCTGTTTAATACCATAAACATAACCTCGTGCCAAACCTTTTTCCTTTTGCACCTAATCCGGTTAAATTCACAGTTTGGCTCCTGTTATAACCACTGAGACAGGTCAAGAAAATCTCTTTGCTCCATGTTTTTTTTTATTTTTATCTTAAAGTAAAAATGTCAAACAGTTGGTAATACTGTAAGGTTAATTATTAGTTTCACCCTTAGGACCATCCTATCCATTAAATGACCCGATGACTTACCGAAGACTTTTCTTCCAATCAATTTTCATTCCACTCAATTCACATTAACAGCTTTCATATTTCCAAGACCGACAGTATTTTGTTTTACTTTGCATCTTCAGACCTCAAGTTTCTGGATGACAATTTGTATCTGTTTTGCAACTTAGGTTTAAAGCTGTAGATGTCAGCAGAGCTCAGGAGGAGGGAGTTCAGATTTGTAAATGTACTCAATCTTTATTAATTGTGATATTAAATATTTGTGAATTGCAGATATTTTTTAATCAGATTCTTAAAAAAAGCTAATTTAAATGTTGCACTTTGCAATTATGCCCCCCTATGCTTGTAGCATTATTTTCTTGGAGTATTTTTATGAGGCATCAAGTGTGCAAAGCAACAAGGTTTTGATGGCGTATGTTTCAATGCATCGTGTTGCGAAGATGAAATGTACTGTGAATTTGATTTTCCTGTCCTCTGTTTATCATGGAACATTTTCTTCCCCAATAAACCACAGAAGTTGTCATTTCTTCTGTCAGCTTTTTTTTTTTTTAAGATGCTGTTGAATTTTGCAAATGTGAACATTCTGATGCGCAAAGTTTACTTTGAGATTAACGCTACAACCACAGTTCAGTTTGAGACAGCTGAGAAGTTAAATATTTGCAGCAATTACCTGGATGAAGGACCATGAAGGGAAGGAATTTAATCCACACCTACTTCATCTCTGCACTGCTGCTGCTCTAGAGAACTGAAAAAATTATGCAATTTAATTTTTAACCACTGTATAAAATACTTAAGCTTTGAAAACAGTTGGACATAGCAGGTCTTAAGATTGGTGGTTCATTGGTCAGAGAAGCTACAAACTGAGGTTTTGAAAAAGTATACAGTTCAAGAGAGTACCTAGGAACTACTTTGTCATTTTTGTTGCTTTTTCAGAAGGTTTCTATTAAAATAAGGCTTTCACTCATGAAAGCAACCTCAGTACCCCATACACATACGTGCTTGGGTCATTTTAAGTGCTCCATATAACCAAAGCTGTTGAGTTCATTTTGGTTGGTTGGTTAGACTCCACCAGGGTTGTCCCTGTCTTTAATCCTGTATGGATAGGAACCTCAGTGTCTCATTTGTTATTTTAACAGGATGACATTCATCATGCACTGGGGCAATGTAGAGTGGGGCATGAAGTGGAAAAATATGAAAGGCTTCTTATAGGTTGGTGGTGAGCAGAGGAGTTTTATGCCTTATGTCTTGTTCACGAGAGATGGCAGGAGATGGAACAGGTCTTTGTCCAGATTAATGAGTTTGGCAGCAGTCTGTAGTGCTATTGAAGGAGTTAAGCTGCATTGATTCACTGGTCCATCTGAGTTCCAACTAGGGATGCACCGATCCACTTTTTTAAACTTCCGATCCGATCCTGATACCTAAAGCTGAATATCGGCCGATACCGATCCAGTTCCGATATCATGATCATCGTTGATTTTATATGAGGCTGTAATAATCTCCTCTCAATTACAATTTGTACAAATATATGCATGCATGTCCAAAAAGGCAATTGAGGTAAGTTTTTATCAATGTTGGATATATTTTAAAGTTAGAATTAAATTCTGCTAACACAAAATATGTTTTTTTTTTTATTATTCCTAGCTTTAAAGTGGATATTAAAGTGATTAATTTAAGTGATTGTTTAAAGTTATTATTATTTTTTTTAAATAAGGGGCAGCTATAAGAATTTTTTTCTTTCTGCACTCTTTTCATTCAGTGTTTTTTTTTTTTTTTGGACGATCTTTTTAAAATGTAGTTTCTTTTAAATGAATGAATAAATTAAATTAAATATGTTAAATGGCGGCAGCACGGTGGCGCAACTGGTAGAGCTGCTGCCTCTCAGCGAGCAGGTCCCTGGTTCAAACCCCAGGTCCAGGGGCCTTTCTGGGTGGAGTTTGCATGTTCTCTCCGTGCATGCGTGGGTTTTCTCCGGGTACTCCGGTTTCCTCCCACAGTCCAAAAACATGCATGTTAGGCTGATTGGTAACTCTAAATTGTCCCTAGGTGTGAGTGAGAGAGTGAATGGTTGTTTGTCTCGTTTGTCTCTATGTGGCCCTGTGATGGACTTGCGACCCGTCCAGGGTGTACCCCGCCCCTCGCACAGTGATTGCTGGACATGGGCACCAGCGACCCCCGTGACCCAAAATGGAATAAGCGGGTAAAGAAAATGGATGGATGGATGGATGGATGTTAAATGGCTTCAAACACCTGCTAAGTTCATGGCATAAACCAACAGACATGTTCCTGTTTTTAGTATTTTACATCACTTTATAAGGTAGCTGTTTTTGTTTCGTCTTTTTTTTTTCAATATCTATAATTTTCAAATCATATGTTTTTTTATGATTGTCTACTGTTGTACTGATAAATATCTCCTGGAGGGTAAGCTATATCTTGGCTGCAAGTATCAAGCTGCAAAATCTTTCGTTTTCTACAACTGATAGCGGTTGGTCATTAATTATGATGAAGTTTAGCAACTTCTCGATAAACATTTGAGCTCCGGGGCTTCAGCGATGTCGTCTTCTTGTTCAATCCGAAGCAGGCAGCCTGATTTCAGTCAGCCGTGCTCAGTCTGCCCCTCCTCAGAGACGGGCAGATGGAGCGGGGCAGTTTGGACGCAGCTGGCCGGGGTCAAGTTGCCTGTTTCGGGTTGAGCAAAGAGTGAGGCCCCGCTGAAGCCCCGGAGCTCAAATGGCCATTGTAAAACTAACTTTTCCGCAGTTTAATGTGGTGCTATGGCTCTGCAGACATACATTGCTGTGTTGTTTTGTGGTGTTTCTAGTGTAAAATACTTCCACACAGCAGACATGTTTCGATGAAAAGTTGGCTAGCTGTTAGCCACACTCAGTCCTCACGTTGTAGCTGGATGCAAACTATGAAGTGGATTTCCTGAATGTGAGGTAGGTCTTATTACTTTGGGTTCATGAGACACGCCTCCATTCAGGAAATCCATTCCATAGTTTGAAGCCAACATGTATCGGAAATATTGGCAGGTTGGATCAGAAAAATCCGATACATAAATTATGCTGGCATCGGAGGCAGATACCGATACTGGATCGGACTGGCCCCATCCCTAGTTCCAACCCTTATGATGGTAAATGGTCATGATGAAAGAATAAGATCCCAGATATAAGTTAATGATGAACTCCATCATCCAGGGGAAATAGGTGAGAGGCATTGTGTTGGTGTGGGTCTTCTTGGCCTTCTTTGAGTTCTTAGCAGGTGTGCTGGAAGGTATTCCAGCTGGGGTCTCCTTTATTCTGCTGGGGGCCTTCAATGCCCACTTGGGTAATCACAATGTGACCTAGAGGGCATGATTGGGAGGAACAGCCGCTCTGATCTGAACCCGAACGGTGTTCTGTTGTTGGACTTCTGTGCTAGTTGTGGTTTGTCCATCACAAACACCATGTTCGAACACAAGGGTGTCCATAAGTGTCCTTGGCACCAGGACACCTCAAGTCATAGATGGATGATTGACTTTGCAGTCCTGTCATCTGATTTGCAGCCATTTGTTTGGGGCACTCGGGTGAAGAGATGAGCTGAGCTGTCAATTGATCACCACCTGGTAGTGAGTTGGATCAGATGGTGGGGGAAGATGCCAGACAGACTTGGTAGACCCAAATGTGTAGTGAGGATTTTATGGGAACACCTGGCTGAAGAACCCATCAAAAATATCTTCAACTCACCTCAGGGAGAGCTTTAACCGCATCCCAACTGAGGTGGGAGACATTGAGTCTGAGTGGGCCATGTTCCTTGCCTTAGTTATTGAGGTGGCTGCCTTGAGCTGTGGCTGCAAGGTTGTCAGTGCTTCTCACGGTGGCTATCCTCAAACTCGCTGGTGGACACCCTGGGTTAACGAGTTTGTCAATCTGTAGGAGTCCTATTAGGCCTTGTTGGCTAGTGGGACACCAGAGGCAGCTGAGGTGTACCAGAGGGCCAAGTGGACCATAGCCTTGGCTGTTGCTGAGGCAAAAGCTGAGATGTGTGAGGAGTT